CTCTGAACAAAGACGTAAATATTGCCAGACCGTCAACAATAATACAGTGTGCACTTCAAACATGCTCTTTTATACACACAAATATCAAGATAGAGATGTCCAAATTAAGTCGAGAAATAACAAAATTAGATCAGTATTCAAAAAACAGAAATTAATTCACCAAATTACACTCTCGAAAATAAAGATCACACATCACTAACAAAAAAAAAAAATATGTATAATCGTCACCACTATAGATATTTTAAAATAGAATGATGAATTTTAATGCTTATTGATCATTTTAATCAGTTGTGAGAAGATTAGTCAGAACATTTAAATTGTAAAATAGCTATAAATGGCTACTATGTTTCTATCTGTGTCAAAGGATGTTTATTATAAAGCACTATAATACAAATATAAATTTACCTAAATGTGCTCTGTCAGATATCATGAGTCGATCACCCCAGTTGCATAAATTGTTCCGTTCAGCCTCCTCAAATAATCCTGGTAAGTGTATGACTACTCCATTACCTAATGGATGACACAAAGCAATAACACATGACTTTGTTCTTCTCATTGAAAAATCAACAATCACTTATATGCAAGCATCAAAGTCTATCACCATTTCAGAAATAAAATATTTATGATAACCAAATTATTGAACCAATCTTAGGTTAGCATAAAACATCTTACAATTGTTATTTTTTCCTGCCAAAACTTTAGTTCACATTTTAAATTTGATATTAATTATAGACAGAATTTGAATTAATATTCTGAATCGATTTTTTGTGTAGAAGGATACACAAATTTGAAGGACACTATTTTGTGGAAAGATACACAAATTTGAAGGACACTATTTTGTGGAAGGATACACAAATTTGAAGGAGACTATTTTGTGGAAGGATACACAAATTTGAAGGAGACTATTTTGTGGAAGGATACACAAATTTGAAGGAGACTATTTTGTGGAAGGATACACAAATTTGAAGGAGACTATTTTGTGGAAAGATACACAAATTTGAAGGACACTATTTTGTGGAAGGATACACAAATTTGAAGGAGACTATTTTGTGGAAGGATACACAAATTTGAAGGAGACTATTTTGTGGAAGGATACACAAATTGAAAATGATGGTGAAAAGGTTAAAAATAACAATGGTGGTGAAAGGGCTAGGTTATCTTCTATAGGGGTTAACATACCAATAACATTTTTACAGTGCTCATGAATAATCCCACTTGGTAATAAATGAAAGTCATACTCTGTGTCACCAACGACAACTGTGTGTCCAGCATTGTTGCCACCCTACAAAACAAACACAAATATAAATTTTATGTATACCCATTAAAAAGGACTTAAGTATAACAAATATTTCACACCAACAGCGTTGTCCACACGTGCCAAAAAATAAATATTTCTCATCAGTGAGCTAAACCTGTATTCTGTTTCTCATCAGTAAGCAAAACCTGTATTTTGTTCCTCATCAGTGAGCTAAACCTGTATTCTGTTTCTCATCAGTGAGCTAAACCTGTATTCTGTTTCTCATCAGTGAGCTAAACCCGTATTCTGTTCCTCATCAGTGAGCTGAACTCATATTCTGTTTCTCATCAGTGAGCTAAACCTGTATTCTGTTCCTCATTAGTGAGCTAAACCTATATTCTGTTTCTCATCAGTGAGCTAAACCTGTATTCTGTTCCTCATCATTGAGCTAAACCCGTATTGTTTCTCATCATTGAGCTAAACCCGTATTGTTTCTCATCAGTGAGCTAAACCTGTATTCTGTTTCATCAGTGAGCTAAACCTGTATTCTGTTCCTCATCATTGAGCTAAACCCGTATTGTTTCTCATCATTGAGCTAAACCCGTATTGTTTCTCATCAGTGAGCTAAGCCTGTATTCTGTTCCTCATCAGTGAGATAAACCTGTATTCTGTTCATCAGTGAGCTAAACCTGTATTCTGTTCCTCATCAGTGAGCTAAACCTGCAGTGTTCTCCCCAGAAATTGTTCATAGAGTCGGGCTAATTTGCATAATAATTAGCATATAATTAGCATAAATTAACATATTGTTTGTCATATGGAGAAATAAAACAAAACCAGTTTTTTTCTATTTATTTTATGTACAATCTGTATACAATTATTGCACTGCATGTTTAGTATTGCAAATGTCCTGCAGAAATACTGAG